AATATCTACAATATAAAGACGACCTTGAAGTGAATACTTTTTACATGTATTATCACAGTCGTAACAAAAACATTCCGACACCATTTGGGATTAAACCTTCCTTAATTTGCTGTTTATAATCCTGTACAGAAACAAGATTAGTTAATCACTTTCCTTCGACTTGGCTCAGGTCTCATTTATAGAACTCACGTCGTATACTGCCAGTGTCCATTACTGAACTGACTGATTACTGACATTGTCAATTAAGTGATTTTCTAATCTAAAATGTTTGATTCAAGTTCATTTTCATTGTGCAGACAAAAATGACAGTAATGATTGCCATATTAGTATCTCAACAAGAATAAGTGGTCAAAGATTTCATTCTCCAAAATGCTAGGTTCCTCTTTTTAAAAAAGCGTACAAGGCAACGTGACTTCATTTTAAATATTCAAGTTGTTTCTGTCAACTTTTCACAGCATACCTACCTTCCTCTTATTGTGATAGGTGACATAAACAACAGCTACTAAGAAGGCAACTACAACCAGATGAAAAAAGAAATGGCTGTCGTCGTCGTCGTCTTCTTCCAACCCTGTGACAGAAACATCTTTTATCTTCTCATCAAGGGACTTGATCTCCTCATTGTAATTACCAATGGCGTCAGAGTCATCGTCTTCTGGCAGCTCTAGAAGGTCTGGGTTGTATCTGGAATTCGACGTCATTTCATAAGGAGGATAGTCATCTCCTCCATCCGAGTCCATAGTTTCTTTTATGATGGGTGGTGAACTATTTAGTGTGTCTTTCAAATCTGTTAGAAGATCCTCTTCCTCAATTTTAGTCTCTTCGGAAGCATCAACATCCACTTGAGACACAGGACTAGCGGTCACCGCGTGGGAGAGAACATATGGCGGGGAATCACCTTGTGCTGTAGATGGTTTTACTGCGGTCACCGAATGGATTTTAGCCGTTGTTGGGAATGCCTCTTTTTTTGTTGGGGTTATATTCTGCAAGCTGTCTGTTAAATTTTGGGATCTGTTTAGTGTTTCATTCTCACTTTTAGAAGACATATTTCTCTGAAGCATCTCCACTTTCACAGAATCTGAGACAAGGATGAAAAACAGTCAATATTAAGCACAAGGCATTCACTTCTCTTGTGATACTTCAGCTATAAATGAAAATTATTACAAGGCATTTACTTCACAGGCAAGAAATCACATGACAAGCAGGGCATATTTCACACTGCAAACTTTTTAGAATTCATATGCAGAAATACACACTCCTGTCCTGTACTTCAGCAACTTCAAAAGAGAAGTCTTGAGTGGGACAGGAATTAAAGCTTCGAAGCACATGCTTTCTACATTAGTATGCCAAAGTGTCCCTGACAAATTTAGCATGCATATTTTCCAGACTTAGAACTTCAGAGACATGTCCTCCCTGCCTCTGTGGATTTCTAATGACTTGTAGAAAAGCAAAAAATAAGAACACGCTGCCATGTCTCCTTCAGTCACGACACAAGGTCCTAACATCTCTTCCCAGGCAGTTAGGCACTTATTTTTATTGAATTTATAGACACACAAAAAAATTCCAACTTAATATTAACTCGAATGAAACTACTGAACCACAGCTTGAAAAACAAAGCTGAAGAAAGGGCAATCTGACTGCACATGCTCCTGTAGGAAAGCCTTTTGTCAGAGCAAATTATTATAACGCAGGAAGTCAGCAACAGTGCTATGTAACAGTGCACCTTTAGCCAAATGCATAATCTCTCCAACGCTAGGATGGCTTTGCAGAACCACGTAGAAAACAACGTGAACATTAAAACCTCCTGCAGGGCCCACCACTCTCTTCTCTATCCAAAAGAAGTTAGAAAAAATGCAGGGGGAGTTCATAAATAGCCAATGTTTTTTTAATCCTAAAAAAATAGCAAAAAGCAAACTACCCATGTTTACAGCATATCACTTCCAGATTCCAATCAGGACGCACCTTACAAATGAAAAACACATTTTAGACTTTCAGTATACATTATAATTTATACAGTGGAACCACCCTTGCCTTGTATTTTGGCATGCCAAACTATTTTAATTTTTTATTTTTAAAAAGTAACAACACTTTCATTAAGCACTCCCAAGGAGCTCCCTGGTTCACTGGAAAGTTGCAGATTCTAGAAATGAAGCCTTCAACCAACTGCTCGTGTCAAATTTCTCAGAAGTCAAATATTATATAGGGGACGCTGAATCACGTTATTCATGAAACGTGTATTTACAGAGGATCAGTTACAACAGACTTCTTGTTGACATGGCACACTTTTCCAGTATGAATTGCTCTTTAACCAAGTGTAAAACAGAGAAGACTCAACTAAACCCACACGAACTAGACATTACGGTGCCTCTCTGCTAAAATTTGAGGTTTACATTTAACACACTTATTGTTGAAGGACTCAGCAGTCTGAATTATGGTATCAACATTAACTTTTTTAGTTCTTGTACAGGACAAGTTTAGGGAATTATCATCTCCCCTCAGGAGTCAAGCCAGCTAACTGCATACGTGGAGATAAATACGAGGAAAGGCAGCTACAAGATAGTTTCATACTTATTGCTAGTTGGCATGTTATGAGTGCATATTACTGCTACCCTCACCGAACAGACAAAAAGTATTAGAGAGTAACAGCTAAATTGTTTGAAACACAAATGTATTTTTCCTACAGAATGCCACTGTACGTATCCTTACACTTCAAATTCTTCTTAAACTCATTTTAACTTGAAAGTTCTAGAAGGATATATGCTTAAATGCCAGGGACTCCCACCAGCTAATGCTGCAGCTTCAGAGTGAGAAAGAATCATTTCCTATTATTCCTAAAAGAAATGATTTTTTGTTTTAATAGCAGTAGCAACTTTAGCAACTACACCACAATTGATTTATAATGTCTACCCAAAGCTATCTGGATTTATAAATGGTGGCTGCACTGTTCCCAGTAACGCAACACCATCAGATGATGGTAGATGTACTGCCTAGACTCCAGAAATAGATATTACTGTTCAACCATGGTGACAAAACCAGCAAGGCAGTCCCCTTAGCAAACACTGGACAGAAAAACATCTGACAGGGTCAAAACTCACTTCCAGGAAAACTTGCCTTTTATAAAGCAAGTTGTTCCATGATTTTTGAGGCTAAAAACTCTGGGTTTCCCACAGGCTTCTGCCCCACATCCTGAACCTCTTCCTTCATTACTGCCTACCCATCAGACAAGGCGAGGGGCAACACCAACGGAGCTGGTTAGGATACACTGAAAGGAACCGCCAGCTCCAACCAGCTCCCTCCATTTCCTCCAGTAATTCCCTCTCTCTGCCCAGCCAATGCCCCACCTCGACCAAAGCGGAACTCGCCGCACTTGACCCATGTATTTCCTGCAAGCATTTGGTTACACTTGGAGGGTAAAGGGAAGTGAGAGATAGAAAATAGACTTCACTAGCAGTCAACTAGCAGAATAACAAGCACGTTTTCTGGAGCAAAGGCTTAAAAACAGGCACCCAGCTAGAATAATCAGAACAAAATCTGGGCGGCCGCAGAGACCTTTAGGCCTAGAAGCGCTGAGGGCGAGTCCGGTGAATAGACCGGCGGGCCCACAGCCCCCCACCCCGCCGCCGGG